CCAAGATTTCTCTTCGGATTTGTAAATGTAGTGGTGTTGTTTTGGTTGCACACATTGACAAAATGCCGGTTGCCGTTCTCAATGTGAGAAGTGTTCTCTTTTGTTACACTCTCATGAAATTTCTCTTTATCTTGAACAGCACTGGAATGAGTTAGCCCAAGGGATTAGCGTTTTTTTCATATTTTCCTTATCTGACTGGGGTTTAAGTGAATTTATTTGAACGCGTAGAGAGCGTTTTAAAGGTCCTTTTTAAATTTCTACTATGCGCCGCTTACGCTAATTTTATTTATTTGACTCATTAAGCAAGGAAGAATGGCCTTAGAAAGTAATGTAATTTAAAAGTTAAACAAGCGACAGAGATTTACCTAAGTTTTTCTTTTAAATCTTTTAGTGGACCAAAATTGTTCATGTCCGTTCCTTATCTAGTAAGATAAAAACATTATCACGGTTCGAATTTTTAGCACATCGGTTTATTTGAGATATAAGTATTATTTTTTCGAAATTTCGAAATAAATGAAGATTAGAACAAAATCGGTTATAGATTTCCCATCACCATTTTAAGGGAGTTATTGAATATTTTAACCTTTTATGTGGGAGATACCTTGATGAGTGAACCAATATTGTCAATTTTTACACCAGGCTTACGTATGATCTACACATTTTAGGGAAGCTATTATTATTATTTAAAATTTTGATAGTTTTTGGGGAAGTTACCACAATGAATGGCAAAAAATCAAACTGATCTGACGTAATCCTGATCTCAATTTTATTATTATTTATTTATTATTATTATTTTTTTTTTTTGAAAGGTTTGAGATTTTAGAAAGAGTAGATCCATATGTTTCTTTTACACACATCTTATTACAACATAGACATAAATCGGAAGTTATGTTAAACTTTTGTTGGGGAGGTAAGTATCATCTGACCTAAGTATCATCTAAACATCACGATATGTCAAATTTGAACTATATCGGGTACTCCCTTCGCTCAAGAAAAAAATTGTATTTGTTTGCAAAATTTTGAAGTTTATAGGAGAGGTACCATAGGGAGAGGTACTTTCGAGCTAGTAATATACGTTAATTTCAATGAAATTTATATTCTCTTCGATAGATATGAGGACATGATGAGATTTCCCCAAATGTCCTGAAACAGAATTTGTTCAAAAAGAAACAGAGTCATATTTTGGCCGTATCATATGATACATACAAACTGTACTTATAAAGTTGAGGGTATAATTATAAAGTAGGCATTTATATTTATTTGGAGGTGTGATTATTTATATGGAGGTGTGATCATCAATTTTGCAATTTTGGTCATCTTTACGAAGAAAAATTTTTCACAGTTATGTAAATATTAGGTCCTCTATATACCTCGTTCCACATATATATAACTCAGTTCATTTCAAAGTCATTTTTGAAAGTTTACGTTGGGCGCCACGGTGAAGTGCCAGTGTATCGTTTATTCCTGCCATAGTAAAGGTCCCGCATCTCGTTGCGTTTCTCCTCTGCCATTCAAGCAGTAGTATTATGATGTTTATAAATCTCAATGTGAAGAAAAAAATCCCCACAAAAAAGTTAAAGTAGCCCAATAATTTGGGGTCTTTTGATTATCCTAACTGAAAGAACTATAATTTAGCACTTTTATAAGATTTATCCAATCCTATGAATTTTAAGACACAATAAGAAACAATAATTTAATGACAGAACCGAACATAATGATATTTCCACTTGCTTACGGTGGGCGCCACTGTGAAGTCACAGTTACTAGTTTTTTTCTTTCGAATCGTCCGTGTTATTTTGTGGGTTTCGTTGGAATATCTGGCAACCATTTGTTTTGCTCTCCGTAGCAACTCTAAGCTTTCAACTGCCAAGAAAGATGAAAAACGTTTGAATCGTTCGTTTGATTTTTGCAGAATGAAATTTCCCAAAAGTCAACGCCCCTTTTTTCTTTCTTGTAGGTTTTGCAGGAATCCGTTCTTTCAGACAACCCATCATTCTTATTCAAGAAGAAGGTCCAGTATTTTGGGGCTCATCTCATTTGTATATTCAAGTCCCCATTAGTTTCTAAGAACTACGTAGAGAATTATGTTTTTTCTATGGTCAGGGATGTATGCTAGGACCTCGGTTGGGCTTCCCAATAGAAATATATTCTCAATTTTTTTCGAAATAACGTTGTTAGACCCTAAGTCTCTTTGGATCAAATCCATTTGAGAATATTTGGAGTCAATTTAGGGGTGTCCGTACTTCCGTCTGTCTGGCTGGCTGGTGCTTACGATAACTCTCGACTTACGATAACTTATTGTGAAGATGTGATATGTGGGACCGCTGGTACTTCGGCCACAACGTATTAACATTTGATATAAAACTCTAAGAACATGCGAAATAATATTCCAATTCATTTTAATAATAATAATAATAATAATAATAATAATAATAATAATAATAATAATAATAATAATAATAATAATAATAATAATAATAATAATAATAATAATAATAATAATAATAATAATAATAATAATAATAATAATAATAATAATAATAATAATAATAATAATAATAATAATAATAATAATAATAATAATAATAATAATAATAATAATAATAATAATAATAATAATAATAATAATAATAATAATAATAATAATAATAATAATAATAATAATAATAATAATAATAATAATAATAATAATAATAATAATAATAACGTTAGGGGCCGACCATGTGATACTCTACAACACTACAATATGTTATATAATCGAATGGTCATACAAAACGCTAGAATTATCCCCTGCCCTTAACTCTCTTCTCAGACGTGTCGATTGGCTTCAATTGTGTGATTAGGAATTTTTTTTTTAATTTTTGGTTCATTTAAACCGCTAAATAATTTGCGATCATCTCCAAAAGCAAGAGGCTGTTGTCGGGTTTCATAACATGCGAAAAAGTCTGCGATACTTTTCAAACTTTGTTCATCTAAATATTTCTGTCAACCAGAAATCTGATGTGAATATGGAATTTATTGGCTACTCCTTCTGGTTCCTTCCTCACAACAGGTTAAATTTTGATTTACAATTATTTGCGTAAACTTGGAAATAAATGTTAGATTTTCTTTAAATTTTGCATATTCCAAAGTTTTTGTTATATCAAAGAATTCACTTCCAATGTCGTGGCAATTGTGGTCTTCTGGTCTTCTTGTTTGACAATCGTTTGTTGATTCTTATGCCATCCGATTAGGAAATTAGGTATAAATGTGTATAATCAATTTTTTATACCCTCCACCTTGGAAAGGAGGGTATATTAACTTTGTCATTCCGTTTGTAACATCCTTAAATATTCGTCTTAGACCCCATAAAGTATATATATTCATAATCAGCATAAAATTCTAAGTCGATTTAACGATGTCCGTCTGTCTGTCTGTCTGTCCGTCTGTCTGTCTGTCCGTCTGTCTGTCTGTCTGTTGAAATCACGATACAGCCCACATTATTTGACGTAGAGCTCCAAAATTTAGCAGAGCTATTTGCATTGTGTCTAGGATGGTTGGTATTGAAAATGAGATATATCGGTCCACGTTCTGGTATAGTCCCCATATAACGGTACCTCCCGATATTCGGTATTTTGATGATTTATGCCACGTTTTTTCACGGATTTGTCTTAAAATTGGTATTTGTAGGTCATAGCAGGTCCCTGAGCGTGTGGCAAAACATTGCATGTATGGGTCCAAAATTTGGTATAGCCCCCATATAACGGTACCTCCAGATATTCGGTAATTTGATGATTTTTGCAACATTTTTTCACGGATTTGTCTGAAAATCGGTATTTGTTGGTCATAATGGGTTCCAGCTCCGGTGGCGAAACATTGCATGTATGGGTCCATGATTTGGTATAGCCCTCATATAACGGTACCTCAAGATATTCGGTATTTTGATGGTTTTTGCCACATTTTTTCACTGATTTGCCTAAAAATTGGTATTTGTGGGTCATAATGGGTCCTAGTTCGTGTGGCGAAACATTGTAATTATAGGTCCACGTTTTGGTATAGCCCCTATATAACGGGACCTCCCGATATTCGGTAATTTGATGATTTTTGCCACATTTTTTTCACGGATTTGTCTGAAATTTGGTATTTGTTGGTCATAATTGGTTCCAGCTTCGGTAGCAAAACATTGCATGGATGGGTCCATTATTTGATATAGCCCCCATATAAAGGTACCTCCCGATATTCGGTATTTTGATGGTTTTTGCCACATTTTTTCACTGATTTGTCTAAAAATTGGTATTTGTGGGCCATAATGGGTCCTAGTTCGTGTGGCGAAACATTGTAATTATAGGTCCACGTTTTGGTGTAGCCCCCATATTACGGTACCTCCCCATAATCGACATTTTAATGGTTTTTGCCACATTTCTTCTAATGTTTATTTTACCCTAAGGTGGAGGGTATTAAAAGTTTGGCCCGGCCGAACTTAATGTTTTTTTACTTGTTCTTCTTTACATTTTCCCTAATATTCCAGAACACAATTGTTGGTGAAGAAAAATTCCTGACATTTTTATAAAACAACTTGGGGGACTTAACTGCCCCCAGTAAATCCCATTCATAACTACAGCCTTCCCATAAATCATTCACACACAAACATATATTCGTTTGGGTTACAAATACTAACACAATGATGTTATAATCCTTAATCCTTCCACCCAAAAGGAAGGAAACGATGTAAAATGGGTTAACCCCCATCCACAACGCCAACACCATCACCACCACTACCAAAAACCACAAACACATGCAAAGCCATCTGCCAACACAATTTTTAAGAGTTAAGAGAGTTTAAGAGAACATTTCCAATAGCCATGGCGAGAAGCATTCAAAGAGCATGGCTAAAATACCACTACCAAAATAATGTCAACGCATACCATCACATTGTCGATTGCGGCAGTGGCGGCGGCGGTGTTCTGAAAGGAAAACAATGTTAAGAAAACAAGAAAAAACATGAAATTAATGCGAGTGTGGTAAAATATCAGTTGTGCGACAACTTGCGTTAGGTAAGCATGTTGTGACGCGCGTTTGCACAAAAGAATCGAAACGACAACGAAGACGACGACGGATGATAAAAACGCCGCTCCATGAACAACAGCAGCAACAATAAAACTAATAATACTAATACAACATAGATAGCAAATCCAACAAACAGCCGACCCCCTTCTCTTCTCCATCACCAAAATACAAACAAACCAGCAAAAGCGAGAAACGTTTGTTGTAACATTACAAACCGAAATTATTTTGTTTTCTAATGACATCGACGACAAATTATGTCTTGTTGCTGATGTGTGTTTGTTTTTTTTTTTTTTTGTTTTTGTTGTAACAATAAAAATCACAAAATATAGATATTTTGTTGTTGTTTAGTTTTCTATGGGACAGAGCGATTGATGATCATGTCGGTTTGGTATGATGAGAAGAAGTTCGATGATGATGGTGGTGTTGCTGGTTATGCTTTTTAGATAAATTCAATACAAATGAATTAAAACAAATTGACAATTGTAATTGATAACAGCAGCAGCAATAGCAACAGCAACAGCAATAAAAACAATAACATAACAGTCAATAATCAAGACAACGGCGTGAAATCAAACAACAACGTCGTGTCGATTTTGTATGGCGTGCGCGAAATGTATGACGGCAATGAAATCGTCGGTGACAGCAACACCAGCGGCGTCGGCACAAACAACACTTAGATTTAAACAACAAAACTAAAGAAACAAAATCATAGATGTTTGCTGTTTGTTTTTGTTTTCCTTCTGTCATCTACTTTTGCAAAGTGTGATAACAACAACAGCACCAATTACTATAACTAATTGTCAAAGCCTTAGACGTAGAAGAAGAACTAGTCGGTCTAAGGAGAGAAGGCAAAAAAAAAAAATAAATAAACTCTAGTTAAACATTTGCAAAATAACCAACCTACCAGCCCATCCGACCGACCAATCACTTGGGCCGTCTTCTAGGCAGGCAGGCAAAGTGAAGAGTCGTGGAGCACCAAAAGGCGACAACACCATTCGATTTGACAGCTTATCAGAGCGCATTTGACATTGCGTGTTGACAGTCATTGCATGGCGCCCGTTCGATCAAGTGCCCCGATATTTATTGAGTACAAACTTCTAACGAAAGAGCGAATGAGTAACGTAACACTTAGAGAACACACCAACTAAGTAAACGGATTGAACACAGATTAGCGTGGCATTAAGAGCAAACAAAATAAAAGATAAACAAAAGATAACAGATTTTTATGAAAAATAAAAATTTTATTTATTTACAAATAAATTAAAAAAATCAAGTGTTGCAAATTTTTTCCAAAAAAAAAAAAAAAAAATCCTGGAAAGTTTTGAAACACTTATTGTGCCGTTTTCAATTTTTTACTTACTTCCTAGTCGGGCGGTATTTTTTAATCGAATTCATAGCTGTAAAATAAGAACAGAAAACCAACAACAACTCCACAACGGCTAGTTGGTGTCACCTGTTTTTTGTCTTTCATCCTTCCTTCCTTCCTTCAAACTATTAATGGTCGGTCAATGTTTTACATCAAACAACAAACTGGCAGCTGTCACAAATTGCCTATTAAACTAAACATTAAAATAACAACAACAAGTAAAATTGCCAAGCCACCAAAAAAAGGGGAAAACCTAACATGATCTACCTGTAACAGAAGAAAAAACTAAAAATCCCAAAAATTGAAAATTAAAAACAAAAAAATTGTCACCCCTGTGAGCAAGGCTCAATGGAAACCCAGTTCTGAAAGCAAGAAATCTGCCTTTGTTTAGCGTATGCCAAATGAAGTTTAAGTGATTAGATTTATGGCTTTATGGTTACTAATTGGTTACACCCTCATTTGAAACCTTTGTACTAACTACCAAGACAAATCTATGACAATTTTACGGCCCAAACTAAGCCATTAAACTAAAAAAAACAAAAGACAGAATTTAAAATTAAAAAAAAAAAAAAATACTTTCATCTAAAGATAAACATAAACACTCAATTAAACTCCCATACAGCTTAGTTCATGGCGCCTAAAGGCCAAGATAAAAAATTCCAAAAAAATCATAAAATAAATCCGACGGCATTTAATATCAATAGCTAACATAAAATAACAATAAAATAATAATAAAAAATATTAAATAATAAAAACCTTTAAAACAAAAAAAACTTCAAGAAATTAATTAACCCAAACCAATATACGAAAAACACTTTCATCACTCCCCCCCCCACTCGGTCTATCTCTGTAATTATACGAAAAAACGGTTAAAGAAATGGATTTTCAAAGTGCTATGGAAACATTTGCCGAAGCATGGGTTGCTGCCAATGCCGGACAACAGGTATGTGTGTCTCTCATCTCAAACCAAAAAATATAATTTGTAAGAAATATGCCATTGACCACTGCTTCTTGTGTTTTGAGTCGTTAATATACTACCCATTTTAGACAAGTCATTCTTGTCATATTTTTTTGCGATATTTTTGAAAGGTGTTAATTAACAACCATCAATTTAGGCTGTACCTGGGGTATCCCTTAACAAGAGGACGACATGTGCAAAATAGTTGTTGGAAAACAATTTTTGGTATTCTGTTTAATTTTTTCAGCAATGTCCACCTATGTATGCATATGAAATGACTTCAGTGTCAATCATATGGCTAAAGAAGTTTTAATTATTTTTGTTGATACTAAATTATTTATCAATACTTCTGGAAGGAAAATGGCTTTGAGAGCCCATAAATAATTGGTCTTTAATAAATAAGAGTCACTAGAGAATTATGGATGGGAAAAAGCCCAAATCACAAAGAGATTTTTAATGGAAACCAAATTTAGGCACCCTAGATTCTTTAAAGGCAAATGGCGCCCAAATCGGATTTACATTAAAACCGTTATAATGTGCGTTATGATTTTATTTTATTAAGTGGACTAAGAAGAAAAGTTTAACATCAGTGAGCCGTTGAAGATCTTAAGCATTACCTGTAGGTACGAAAGGGCGTGAGCCGATAAATTCCAAATTCAAATCAGATCTCTTGTTCAGAAAGAGGTTTAGACATACAAAGTCTGAACAGAAAGGCTGACTTGTTTCGCAAGTTATATCCCTCATAACTTGCGTACTGAAAATGTTTGCCCTTCGTGTGGAGGTACCAGAAGCAGTGAGCCAATATCTATCATCTTCACACCAAATATTGTGTTGGAATAGATATTGGGATCTGTAAAATTTGAAGAGAATAGGATGCACATTTATTGAGCACTCAAAGTTTTGACCCCTTTGAGGGGGAGGTACTAGAAGGAATGGGCCGATAATGCCCATCTTCAAACTCGACCTATGTTTGAAAATAATTGTATGATGTACCAAGTTTGGACCTAATCGGATACTCCCTTCGAGAGTTATCGTGCGCATCAGCCAGCCAGACAGACAGGCAAGACACTCTAAATTGACTCAAAAATGTCCTGAAATAGATTTGGTCCAAAGAGACATAGGGTCTTAGCCGATGAGGCATATTTTGGCCATATCAATATAGCTGAGAGTATCAAAACATATAAAATACAAACAGTCATTTGTGGTCTTCTTTAAATCTCTCCAATGTGGAAAGTTTAACTGCCGAAGAATTTCCAATCAAAGGAGAGCTATATAAATTAAAGATATACTATATACGTCCTCTTTCTATTGAGTTATAATGATAACTTGATAACGATCATATGGCCTGTAGAGCAGTGCATTTTTAGTGGCTATAAACTCTTTTTCGGTTGCCACTTATATAGCAGGAAATGGCTTTCAAAACCATTTTCGTGGCTCAATAAACAAAATGTAATCGGTATTTACAAAATCCGAGGGGTATGATACCCTCCAGTCTTCGTCTGTGATAATGCGTATTTTTAAAATCAATTTTTCGGTGAAATAGACCCCATCTTCTGCAAAATATGCATTACATATACAACCTTTGCCGCGGTGTCGGGGCATTTTTGAATAGACTCCAACTGCAGAATCGTCTTTTTAAACGACTCCAGCTTGACTCCGAAAGTATTATCCTATTTATTCTATAAAACACTGTTAGTTTTATATTTTCGCCAATCTATTTGTGAACATATTAACTTAGTTAGCAGGACAAAAGATTTAGTCCTATAAAGTGTAACAATGCGAGAGATTTGGTCATATATTCAAAAATTTTAGACCATGGTTTCAATTGTAAATTGTAAAGCTATTACAATACTTCGCGAGGAAAAATCCTGAACCTCTAGATATATTTGAAATCTAAAAGTTCATTGCTAGGAGGCTTTATTAAACAGTCGACTTATATTCAACATTTTTCGTAACAAAAGGACGTACCTACTAAAAATCCGAAATGGCTACACCTGTCTGAAACATTTAGAATGCTTCAAAACCGGAGGACTACAATCCACATCCTAGACAATATAAATCGTTGAGCCAAATTTCAAAGCTGAAATGACAATCTATATTTCAATATATTAATTTGAGTTGTCATTCAAGTAAAAATTCAAAACATTTCCTAACATAGTATTCATATTTTAATCCATTTGCAATCGAAAGTCTTGCCTTAGGAGGCAACTATCGACTTGAGAAATATTAAATTTTTATGTTTTTTGAAGGGCGTTAGCTAATTTTTCATCATAGCAGATTCTTCTTGTGACAATGGCTGCAGACGGTATTTATCATTTTATACGGACAAAACGTACTTCATCGAAATAACAGTTTTAGGTCCTAGTACCCTTTGTACCATATCCGTTTCATGACATTTGGAGTCGATCTAGCGATGTCCGCCTGTCTGTCCGTCCATCTGGCCGAATGGTGCGCACAATAACAACCGAAGGGAGTATTCGATTTTGTCCAAACTTGGTACCTCGTAATATTATTATCAAACATAGATCGAGTTCGAAGATGGACAATATCGGTTCACTCTTTCTGGTACCTTCCCCACAAAATGTCAACATCAAAGAAAAATCCTAACTTTTGCATCAGTCCTAGGTCAGGTCAACATTTTGATAATTATAACTCTTATGGAATGTGAAGCGAGAGTCCGATTGTCGTCAAGTTTTGCAGATCTCATATTTCTACCAACACAAGATCTGGTATGTAGTACAGATAGAACAGAGCACCACTTCTAGTAATTTTGTCAAAAAAATTAATTAACTAGGAAACTCATAAAAGGAAATGAGCATCCGATTCCATTCGAACGTGGGACACCCGAAAATTTCTATCAATGCAAAGTCTGTTGTGGAAATGGAATATATCGGACCACTCCTTCTGGTAACACCACCACAAAAAGTTCAACATTTTGTATAACAAAACGGTGACACATCTCTACATCTTTGCTAACGCAAGATCTGGAGGGGAAATAATAAATATTGTACCTCTGGTCAAAATTTCCAATACTAATATCTCTCATAACTTGCGTTTCTTACCAAACCTGACACGTAGAATTATATGTATTGGCTTAGGACAGATGTGAAATGGGCAGTATTGGGTCATACCTTCCCCTCACATCTAAAGAGTCACTACTTTAAAAAAGAGTACAGATTTGCTTATTTTTACTACTACGGGGTCTTCCCTTCTCTTTTTTTGTGTGGGAATACTCCCTATTCACTACTGCTTGAAAAATTAGAGTGGGAGCAGGATCGCTGAAAATAGAGCAAGGGTTTGCTCTGAGCGGAAAACGTTTTATATTGTGGAAGAGGGGGACTAGTTGGGAAGACGTGAATATTGGGTTTGATCTTGTGCAGAAAAACCACATATATAGAAATACACCAACGTATAACCAAAAGTAAAAGAGTGCTCGGCACGAGTCGAATCTTCTCGGCACGAGTCGAATCTGCTCGATTTTGAAAGAATTTTGCTTCCCACTTAAAAAATGAGTAAAATATGCTCTCAATTGTTTTTCTGCTCCCAGAAGCACAATAGTTCGAATTCGAGTGGGTTCCATTTTTTGTTCAAATTTGACTGAGTTTATCGGAGACCTATTTTAAAAATCCATTTCTCAACTCATAATATATAATTAAATAAACGAAACTTGGCAGAGGGTAAACATGCCGAAATAAACGACTGCACTTTTTAAATTGGAACTTTTTTAAATTGGAACTTTTTTAACATGGAACGATTTTAAAGATGGGTTATATCGGTTCTCATTTGATACCCCCACAAATGGTAAAAATAAACAAAATGAGAAAAAATAAGTGATTTACAGAAAACGCATGCTGATAATCCTTTCGCATTATAATATTTGAATTAGCAACAGACCTGGGACAAAAAATCCACTTCTTATTTTATATCCTTCTCAAATAGTCAAAAAATTTCAAAAATATGAATCTCATTTAAATCACAACTAACGATTTAATTGAGATTCATTTTTGTTGGCCCAATTTGATTAAAACTTCGTCAAAATGGGATACACGGTAAACTTTTTTGGTAACAGGTCGCAATTACGGCCCGATCCTCACGAAATTAAAAATGGAGATAGGGTCAGGGCCAGAAACGAACCCTATTGTATTTGCTGTTGCTCTACATCCCACAATTATAGACCAATCGGTGGGAACTTTGTATGGGTTTAGAGCTTAGGACTGGGCATACCAATTTGGATGGTCATCGGACCATATTTCATAACGTTTTTTTGTAAAGAAAATACGACTATTCCCACTACACCTCGAATATTTTTAATCCTGGCGAAATCACAAATACACGGAAATGTCACTTCTGACGGTTTCACTGATGCTAATTTCCAAAATATCGCATATATAGCAAAATATATACATTCACATATATCAAAGAAGGGGATGTAAGTCAAGAACCGCTGGACTGACTTTTACAATTTTCATCAATTCGGAATGGATAAAATCTAAGAAAATCTCGTATAAATGTGCCAATAAAAAAGTGAATATTTTTGTTAGATTTTTTCAATTTTTGACATATTTTTATCGCATGTGATTTTCATACCCTACACCACAAGGTGGTCAGGTAAGGAAACGAGATAGACCATAGTTCCTTTTGATGATCTGCATAGAATCACTTTCTGAGTTGATTTATGCATGTCAGTCCGTCTGTCCGTCCGTCCGTCTGTCCATGAATTCGTGTGAACAAAATGCAGGTCGCATTTATTATCCGATTGAGATGAAATTTTGCAAACAACATTTGTTTGGCCCAAGGACGAACCCTATTGAAATTGGAGATAATCGGAAAAAATTTAGATATAGCTCCCATATATATCTTCGTCCGATTTGCCTTTTATTGTGCACCAAACGTGTAATATCAGCCCGAATAGTATGGATATTTTGCACATACAACCAAATTAGGCCTGAAAATAAGTATGCCAAATTTGATCGAAATCGGTTCAG